ACTACTACTACTACTACTACCTTTCCAGTCTTTTCATTACAGTCATATGTAATTTCTAGTGCTAGTCCTTACCCTCGGAGCTCCTAGTGCCACGTTTTGGATCACCTCGACTTTGTCATTCTCAGCTTGGCGTGACACCGCCACAGTTCTATTCGGAAAGGAAGATGCTGCGAAGGCCTCAGAACAGAGAGGAACTGGAGCTTGGGAGATTAGGGTGCAGGGGGTTAGGGCTTCGAGCGGCTGGGTGATTCTTTGATAGAGCTCTGCTCTGCATTCACACAGCGCTTAAATGGTGTCAGCCCTTTCTGGAGCAGGCCATCAATGTCCGAAATTCAGGGGCCTTGAGCCCTGAACCCTACATGTTTGAGTTGCAACTTTTTTGAAAAAGAACCTGCGAAGGCGCGGCCTGGCTTGAAGTCCCAAATCCTGTACAGACCCGAATTAGCTAAACGCCTGAACTCAACTTCAGTTAAACCTAAACCCTATAGCCGTCAACATCCTAAACCGTGAACCTCCCCGGAGTGCACCCGAACCCCAGAACCTTTAACCCTTCAACCCCCAAGATCCTCATGGTCCCGAGTAAAGGCAAGCGTCCTGCGCAAGGCATAGGCCAGAAGAGACCACTGCCAGGAGCCTTCTTCCGCTCTGGGCATAAGATATGAGGCTTGGGCTCAGTAGGGTTTAGGGCATGCTAACGGCTTGGAGAGAGGGCTCAAGATTTAGGACTTTATGGTATAGGCTTTAAGGGAGACGGTTCACGATATGAGGTGTAGGGTATAAGATCAACTCTTCCGGTACTGTCCTTTAAGCCTTTTCCTTTCAGGCAAACGGCAAAGTCTTGAACATGATGGCCACGTAGCCAGCCCAGGGTTCTTCTGCGATGGCGTCGCTTGCTGCGCTGCTCCGGAGAATGGCCCACCATCCTGGCGCAAACCCTAAACCCTAAAAAACCTAAACCCTAAACCCTAAACCCTGAGGTTTAGGGTTTAGGGTGCTCAAGCTCAAGAGGCCTGTTGGATCTCCTTAAATAACAGCATGACACTGCATACCTGCAGTAGGGGCCATCTTGAAGCACCGAAAACACACGGAAGCCCGACAGTTTGATTTCAAAAAGGTTTGGGATACATGCTGCGCTGGGGCGCCTCGCATCTGTCAGCGCCATGGCGTGGCGCGGGCAATTTTGGCACGGCCGGGTCGATACCGCCTACGGACTATGTCCAAAAGGGAACCTTAATGAGGCAACCAACCCCCCGAAGGGCAAGACAGCCGCAATCTGAAGATCCCTAGCACTTGCTGCTTTGTGAGAAGTAGGGATTGCGATCTGGTACCTCGCTTGAATCGCAGTGTTTTTCATAAATGGCTCTCGCAACGATCCGAGTTTGAGTGTGAAGAAAGAGCTGCGGATTGCAGCTTCAACTGTTTAGGGTTTAGGGCCAAGCAACGAAACCGGCAAAGACTTCTTACCCTCTGTATCCCATGTTGTTCGTAAGCTGCTGGTGCTCGTTGCTGCTCTTCCCAACTTTTGTTTATACTCGCAGCATGATGACTATGCTGCTGCGGTTTGTAAACTCTATCATTGTGGCTGCTTTGGTTGCTGTACTGCTGGTTTCATGCCTGTCAGCACTATCAATCCTGCTGAAACCGGGGCCTAAAGTTTCAGTGCAACCGTGGGGGCTTTGATGTTAAGGGTCAAAAAAGACCCTAAACCCATAAGTCGGGAGCTTGGGTTGAGAGTCTGAGGCTCAATGAAGGTTGCGGATGAAACCCCTTTGAGCCCGCTGCCCGTACGTGCGAACCCGGGTGATATGACATCCCGACACTGAACAACAACCAGAGATAGGAAATGTAAGTCCGAAAGGACAGAAAATACATCCAAGACTTCTATATAAACACACCTGCACTATGTAGACTAAGACGTGCGTGTGTCACACCTTGTACCCGAACGGCTAGCCTAGATTCAGGCAGTCAAGTCAAGTTCGTATCGGACAAGCATGGTACTCAACATTTTGCAGTTGTCGGGTGCTTTAACCAGAGCCGCAATGTTGTACGACTAGAAGACGCGCTTAAACGTGCTGCTGGAGGCTACGTTCCCATTCCAGCAGTGTCGGCATTTGAGTGGCTGTGCTTCGCGTCCCGCTTCAGAGTGCTCAAAGCGTATGCAGATGTGCTATACCGGATTGTCTTGAGATGGCGCGAAGTTAGGCCAAAGTCCTGAGTGTACAGGTTCTAATGTGATCTAGCTAGTATCCGGGCTGGAACTTCATTGGGCGAGTATCTTATTGCTCTCAGCAAGACCAGCGTCCTGCGGTAGCAAGACTAACTCAAGTCACTTGCTGAGTAAGTCTCGACATCCACACACTACAGTCTACTGTCAGCCCCGAACCGTTAACCTTCGTCTCCCCCTCTTTTGTTCTCGCATGCATCCTCGACTCTACTGTTTCTATCACTCTGACTTTTGCCAGGTTCCTGTGTGCTAGGAGGGCTGATGGCGGATCTCCTGAAAAACGCCAGGGCTTCGAGGTAAGGGTTCAAACCATGTACGGGCAGAGCCTACGCGCTCGTGTTTCGGGCTTGGTCGACTTAGGGCACCAGCACTGCTAGCACTACACTGCGACTGCCATTTCGACGGCAACAACGACAGCTGGAAGCTTTTGCTTCCCGGAGGCTACCACCACCACCACCACCGCCGCCGCCACCGCTGCAACCACCGCTAGCGCTACCACTACCACTACTCCTGCTGCTGCTGCTGCTAATACTACTACCACCACTACCACTACCACTACCACTACCACTACCACTACCACTACCACTACCACTACCACTACCACTACCACTACCACCAGCACTACTCCTGCTGCTGCTGCTGCTACTACTACCACTACTACTGCTACTACTACGACAA